CGAGAAGTCTGCCTAGAATAGCGTTTTCTAGTCGGATGTCGGGGGGGGGCGGGCATCGGCCGTTCAAATGCGTCTCTTTCTGCGTACCTTGCCTGGAGGTTTTGGTAATGCCCCACCCCCATCACCGCCCCGTCCCCACCCGCAAAAACAGCAGAGGCACTAGAACCTTCTTTGCCGCTGGCCTGGATCGTAGTGGGCCGTACACCGGGGAATCACTTTCTGGAAGGTAATTCTTCTGCTTTGGCATTTTTTGTGTGTGTCCCTTTGCAGACCCCTTTGCTGATGCAACTAAGGGTGACGACTTACTCCCGGCAGGGACTGAGGATTACATTCATATAAGAATCCAGCAACGGAACGGCAGAAAGACACTGACTACTGTCCAGGGCATCGCAGATGATTATGACAAAAAGAAACTTGTGAAAGCTTTCAAAAAGGTAAAGGTGCTGGGCAGAAAAGGTTAAACCACAGCTGCTGATGCGCTTCCGAGCAGGACACCCTTACTCGACTCCAACAGTGTGGGCACAGTGTGGGCGCAAACGATGGGGCTCGGGAAGGGAAAGCCTGTTGGTTCTGGTAATTAACACCCAGGCGTTTATGGGTGGCCTCCCATTTCAAACTGAGATGTGAATGGCTTTCAAACCAAACGAGATGTGGAATACTCAGTTCTTGGTGTTCTAAGTAAAATCATTCCCTGTATGTTTCCTGCTGATTCACTTGCAAATTAATTTGGGAGTGTTGGGGAGACCAAACGTGTTTCCTAAACACCATCAGCTCTACTCAAATGGTATGGGTCTTAATGGTCAAAGTAAAACCTCCTTGTTGTATCTGACTCCATTGTGTGACACATCTCCTTCTCCAGAAATTCGCCTGTAATGGTACTGTGATTGAGCATCCTGAGTACGGAGAGGTTATTCAGCTTCAAGGTGACCAAAGAAAAAACATTTGCCAGTTTCTCCTGGAGGTGAGTGATTGGGTGCTTTATGTACAACCTTGACATTGCTTCCAAAATTGTATTCAAGGACAATGTGAATTATCTCCTACTTCATTAAAAAAAAAAAAAATTACGTGAATGAGGTAAATCCGTTAATTGAGAGAGAAATACAGTGTCGGTACTTACTTTAAAGGCAGCGGAACCTTTTTTGGTTTATTTTGTCATTCGAATGACGTGACCGTTCTTGTATCTGCACAGCCAGTTTTGGGGCACGTCAAGGTGTGTAAGCGTCTATTGAATTGCTAACGGTAAACGCCACAAGGAACAGTGTTGCAACAGACTGTTAACCCTGATTGTTTTATCATCGGGGCTCCACGTTTTCTTGGGGCTGAAGTCCTGCATCCCTCAGAGCGATTCTGTTACGTTTGTTTTGCAGGTTGGCATTGTCAAGGAGGAACAGCTTAAGGTTCATGGATTCTAAAACGAACCCGAAGACGTGGAGAATTTCTTGAATGATTTTGTCCTCTAAACCCAGTGTGGCTGCCTCGTGAAATGACTCTCTGCAGTAAACGGACTTTTCATGTATTTAATCGTTCAAACTCCCATTCACACGTGCATGATTACAGAAAACATGGGGTATGTAGGCTAGTAACACACAAGAAAATTGCAGTAAGATGGTAACGAAACCCCGTATTCATCTTAACATGTTTCCAATGGAAAATATTTTGTTTTGAGTGTTTATTTGTTTATTGTTCAGCTTTTTTTCACCTGATTAAATGCTTTTTTGTTGTATTAAACCATGTATGTTGCAGCTTGACAATAAAGAAACATCTCTGAATCCTTCTGTGAGCAGTTAGGCTCCCAAATCTAAGCAAGTAAATACGCAGGTTTTGTCTTTGAGAGTTGGAGTTCTCCTTCTGCAAGTGTTCTTTCTGCTTAGTTTTCACCTGCTGTTAAACCCAAAGCCGGAGGGGAACCTTTGTCATGTAACCTGTGTTCTTCCTTTACTGACTTACAGATGAGAATGAGAACTGGAGTATAAGCTCAGCCAGAGGCAAGATTTATCAGAAGGTGGTGTTAAAGTTTGAAAATAGGAAGTACAGTTTAAATTCCCAGGTATTAGCACGTAGAATTCTTCTGTGTGTTTTTCTTGCCGTTACTGGACTACCCATGTGAATCTGTCCCTAAGTCCAGATGATACAGCAGGCTCCCGACCCCAAATAAGTTCAGTCACATGCGCTGTCCTGCAAGTGTTGGTGGCTGGTGTCGCTGTCCTACAGATGGAAGACGAGGTGCAGATTATCTTGCCAGGAGTGCTGGGCATCGGGGTGCCCGCTCAGGGCTCCCGGGCCAGAAGATCCGTGTTCTTTCGCTGCATCTTGGCTTCGGTATGTGTTCCGCCACAGGAAGTGAGAGCCGTGGGTGATCTCGCAGGGGATTGGGGACGGTGTGAGAAATAGATTTGCAGCTCGAGTTCCACACTCCACTGTGGATGGTGGATGGTAATAATTTGCTCGGTTACATAAGCCATGCCGTTGAAACCATTCTGCCGAGACGCGTCCACAAGTGTGTCCTCTTCGGCCTGATGATGACGTGAGCGATGTCTCACGTGGGCCACCAGTTGTGTACCAGCTGAACCTTTGCCCCTATTTTGAGGGGACTGCTTTTGGACAAGCAAAATGGGCCCCATAGTTGACCTTTTAAAGACACTAAGTAATAGACTTCCTTTCTCACCCCATTACTACTTAAGATTGGTCCTATTGAGAATACCAGAATATGGTGCCAGATTTAGCAAGCTCATTTCTGAAAAACAGTACAATTTGAACAAGAAGATTGAGCTGTTGAGCATTATTCAGCTTCACTGAGCAATCCTCAATTTTCTATCTGTAACATTTTACAATGATTCCACCTCTAGTTGAGAGGTGCTGTGGAAACGGTTTATGAAAACGATAAAGCAGAAACCTGAGTTAACAGGTACATTCCAGAGTTGCCTTTTCATTGTGGCATATTTTTTTTTTAATATTTTTTTTTTCAACGTTTATTTATTTTTTG